AGGAAGCAAGCAGTACGCAATTGGAAGAGAAAAGCAAAAGACGGAGAGAAGTGGAAAAGAATAACTCAGGAGGCCAAGCATAATGCTGGCCTGTAGTGCTGCAGAGTTAGTTTGTTATGAACTTTCAAACCAAGAAACAAGAATAAGACATAGAACAGGCCATATCAAGAGTAATTATTTATGAAGTACAATTTTTATAATTCTACGAAAGTATGTAAGTGTAAACTTACAAGTTTCTAAGATGAGGTGAGTAATAAAATTTTGTGGGAGGAAACGCCATTGTACTTTGGGGAGATGGACAACCTTGGTTGAAGTTAGCAATTAATAGGTTCTTAATTTTTTCCCACTTTGCCTCATCATGTATAATTATTGGTGTTCAGTAAATTAGAGTGAGCTCAACAAATTGAATATTATTGGATTTTCATATTTCTGTTTTTTTTTTTTTATGATATCAATCGACAGTTATCGATTTGTAAAAATGGTGAATCAGTAAATTCCATATTACACGATCTTCCTTTAAGACCATGTAACTATGGAGAAAACTTCAGTTTCAAAAATTGATTGTAAAATATGTTCTCCATAAACATAGTAAATTATTGGAGTCATCCTTTTTAAATAACATTAACAATATTTATCAAAATAAATAATTTGTTTAAAGTTGTAACTTTTAGCACCTATATCACTTGCTATCCATAACACACAGATGTATAATAAATTTATGTTTATCCTCAATGATGTGGGGCTGTAAGATTGAAACAATAATTATTATTCAAAATTTTACCAGTATCAAGTGATGACAAGATCATGAGATGACTTAATATAAAAACTTTTAAAAAAAAAATCTATGTTGGTCAACACATAGGTTAATAATAATATTTATAATTATTTAGTTAGAAAAACTTACGACTATCTCAAGAAATAACTATAAAGTTTCACAAAACATTATTAAACCAATAAAAAATAGTAATGAAGAAACAAAAATAAATCCTAAGATTACCAACTCCATCTGTAAGAACTTAAGATCATGACAGAAATACAACACACGTGTTTAAATAGTGAGCATGCGACATTCAAAATATGTAGCATTCAACATACCTTGGCACCCTTGAAGCAACACACAAATAAAAATTATATTTCTGTTTAATTTAATAACACAAAAGAAAGAGATGGAGGTGAAAAGAAGATATTAAAAAGTAAAAAAATACAAAAAATATCTAAAACTAATATCTTTAGTAGTTTGCTTTAATCACAAACTGTTTTTAAAAAGTAAACATTATAATAAAACTTATATTTATAATCATGGGTGATAAATATTCAGGACACAGTCATTATAAAGTTTTTATTAGTGACGACGTTTCAACCCAAACATGTGGGCCTTCATCAGAGCTCTGTTTTAGTGTTTGAAGTATCTGGAGAGAGAGCAGAATGAATCGTAGAAGAAGATGGCGAATAAGCTGATTGCGAGTGGTGTAGAGTTTGAGTCAGGCCAGGATAACATGATTTTCTTGATGTGTGTTGTGAGATGGTATTGTCAGCGTACGAAGAATTCATATCTCTGATGTGGTGGATTTCAGCAACGACGTATATTCTTGTTGTAGATAGATGGTCCCAATGATTTAATGAATTATTGAAGGAAGTTAGTTAGTCGACTATTCTACATATGATGGGTGATAAATATTCAGGACGCAGTCATTATAAAGTTTTTATTAGTACTTGAATACATTCAGTACTCAAACCACGCCCTGATGATGACCCACATGTTTGGGTTGAAACGTTGGCACTAAAAAAAACTTGATGTTTTTCTATGTAGAACAGTCGACTAACTAACTTCCTTCAATAATTCATTAAATCATTGGGACCATCCATCTACAACAAGAATACACGTCATCGCTGAAATCCACCACATCAGAGATACAAATTCTTCGTACACTGAAAACTCCATCTCACAACACACATCAAGAAAAACATGTCATCCTGGCCCGTCTCAAGCTCTACACTGCTCGCATCAGCTTATTCACCATCTTCTTCTACAACTCATTCTGCTCTCTCTGTTTAGATACTTAAAACATCAAAACAGAGCCCTGATGATGATCCACATGTTTGAGTTGAAATGTTGGCACTAATAAAAACTTTATAATGATTGCGTCCTGAATATTTATCACCCATAATATGTACTACAGTCGACTAACTTCCTTCAATAATTATATTTATAATACTTGAATTAGCATAGGAACATTGACAAGTTATGGTAAACAAATTAGGGTAAATCAAGGAACCAACACATACTTTCATAAAAATAAGCAATCTTATATATTTTCTAAATATAGTCAGATAGCAGTAGGTGGTAGCAAAGGTGGCTTTCAACACATCATGACATACCATATAAGGGGAACTCCACGATTACCACTATTGAAATAATTTTCTTAAAAATCCCTTTTAACAGCTATAATGAATAGACTTCATTTGCATTGTAAAAGTAAAATGAAACCTTTATGCTCCAAACAAATTAAATAAAAATAGTTTAGTTTAAAACTGAATAGTAGGTTAAGTGATTAAAACTAGTAATATTAATTATTGAGGAACAGAAGTATTCAGATAATTGGTTATACAGATGACCTTGACCACCACTGAACAAGTCAGTGATACGTTTAGCATTGGAATAATGATTATTAAATATGGTACCTCATATATAGCGTACAAATGTAAATCTTAAATACTTCCTTGAATAACTAACATATCTACTCTCTTTTCCACATTACTAAAGGATGGACAATATAAAGTGATCAGCACAATATTAATAAAATTTACATTTTTGGAATAGTAGGCTGCCAATAACCTTGAAGGAAGAACAGAAAGACGGATAGTGGCCAAAATCAGTTGGTATTTTATCTTATAACTCAATGAAGAAAATACTATCTTGATCCTTAAAGACAAGCATCTAGTGTATTTTATATATAGATGTAAATGTGTATATACATATATATATATACACACATAATGTAATAGATTTCACTTTCTGGTTCTTATGAGTGATGGATTTTGACAAAAGAGGTATCACAAGGAAGGGAATTTTATGGAGAAATAACGAATCCCAATTTTGATCCTTAAATTCATATTACAACTTCAATGAAAGTCATTGAAAAAAGTAGAAGTTTTCAAAACTCTAAAGGTGCTAAGTTGCTGGATTGAGTTTTAAAGCCCTAAAATTTACTGTTCTAGAGATAATAGCCGAATTATCAACAGGATCCCATGAGATACTTATGAGATTTTTAAAGCTTAAAATTTCACTATTTAATGTAATCTACTATGCTACATTTAACAGAGTGGCTACCAGACAGTTGAAGTAAAATTCCCTGACTTTTCTCTATTTAATGATATTTTTCTCTGACCAATATGATTGAGGACACAAATATTAATAATGTACAATTTATAACTAAATTTATTTATTATATATGAAAGAAAATTTACTACAAAATGATTTGGGTAAAAATAATTTTTTTTAAAAATAACACAATGTTTCAGAGGAAGCATTTTTTAAGCTTGATTAGGATTTATTAATTTAGAAATCTAAACTTTTAGTAATTTATATTCATTGCTTTTATGTTATTTTCATAAACTGAGAGGAGATAAAAGTTGATACATGACAAATAAAAATCTGATTTTCTCTATTATAAAATAAAGTGAGACACGGAGGGATTCTAATATTAATGTAGTTTCTGATAAGTAATTTAGTTTTTTTATTACTATAAACAGCATATTAATTATCCAAATGACACCAACTAAGGTTAATTGTGGGCGGGGTGGCCGAATGGGCTAACGCGTGTGCACTGCACCGCCGTTGCCCGGCAACCTGATAAATGAATCAAAGATATAAAAATAGACACGAGTTCGTGTCCCGGTGCCGGGGGAGTCTTTTAAATCCCAGCTCACACCCCCTGGTCCGGGAAAATCCCGTATAGCCTTAACGGCGAGGAAGGGAAGGACAAAAAATGTTAATAAACACTTGCAATTTCTGGTTAATAAATGGTCTTTTTCTTTTGAGGAAAACCACAGGTTGAACAAATGAGTGTTTGCCAGATCTAGACCCAGATGTGTATATTAAAATTAGTAAATAATGTTGTTATGTTTTTATTTTCAAAAAAGCACAGTTTGAAGTCCCAAGGATGAATACAGCTACCATGGGTCATTTATAACGATGAAGTTTACCCCTTCAAGGCTCATTATAAACGATATCCACTGTATATTTATTTTGAATTTGAAAAAAATATTTACGTGCTAAAAAAAATCCCCTGACTTTTCCCATTTTTCCAGATCGGTCGTCACCCTGATTAAAAATGTATTGAATAAGCAAACAAATCAGAACAGAATCTCTAGAGCATTTCAGATAATGTAGAAATAAACGTTTTGATGTGTTTAGAAAAAAAAAAATAGATGTTTTGTGGACATATTTTAATTTTCCTGGTTGTCCATATATTTATAATCTTAATAAGGGGGAGAATTGCAAACTAAGGATGGTACTCTTCTGGACCAACATAGCAGGTCTCAGCAAGTAAAATAGTAGGTTAGTATAACATATACAGACTAGATTTAGTTTTAGTATACAGATAGATTCAAACATTATTAATTATTTTAAATAGTCTACTTATACTAAAATGTTAAAATACTAATTTAAATGGAATTTTCAATCTTAAATGGCAAAGTAGCTAAAAGAAAAGCTCTACACAACCAGAAGAGCTGGAAGAACGAGATTAAGATTTCTAGATTGTGTGAGCAAAGACTAAACAAATATTTAGCCTCAGACACAGGAGAGTTATCACAACGAATAAAGAGGCCCTAACATAGGCTTACTTGCAGCACCGATTAAGTAAGTAAAAAATAAAAATAATCATTAATGGAAAATGAAGCAAATGAAAATAAAAATATTAAATAATCTAAAAAGTCATTCCTGTTTAGCTTACTGTTCATTCACCATATTTAAAAATAATAGAACTAATGCTTACCTCTTCATCTCTTATGTCTTTCAATGTATAAGAAACAACTGTTATTCCCATGTTCACTAGATCAGATGAGGCAACTTCAAACACTTGTTTACTAAACTTCTTCCGGTCTTTGTAAATCTCCTTTAAATAAAATAAGATAAATAGAAAAACAAAACAATATTAATTCATAATTTATGGTATATAATGTTAAGTAGTCACTTAATACACTAGTTTACAGAGTTTTTGTAATAGTAATAATAATAATAATAATAGGTAGAGCATAATAATGAAAACGAATGGTTAAAATTAGTAAATACTGAACTTCAGGAGAAACCTTAAATGCCAGAATTCGACATAATCATCGCTACAAAGAAAATGAAAAACTGGAAAGCGCCGGGTAGTGATAGAATTCAGAATTACTGGTTAAAGAATCTATCCTGCCTGCATGAAACACTTGCAATGAATTATAAAAAAATGATAACAGGGCAGATAGACATTCCCAAAACGTTTTGTGAGGGCGTTACTGTGCTGACCCCCAAGATTTTCGGCCAATTACTTGCCTCAACTGCGTGTATAAGATTTTAACATCCATTCTCACAAGTAAAATTGAATTTCATCTGCAAACCAATAATTTAATTCCACTCGAGCAACTTGGCTGTAGAAAAGGAGCCCAAGGGTGTAAAGAACTTTTGCTCATCGATTCATTCATAGCAGGCCAGACGACCATGAATAAAAGAAATTTGTCGATTATAAAAAAGCATTTGACTCAGTTCCTCATAGTTGTCTTTTAAAAGTTCTGGATTTATATAAAATCCATCCTTATATTAAAGAACTTCTGAGGAAATTGATGGACAACTGGAAAACAAGACTGAGAATAGGAGATAAGCAATCACTTGAATACATTACCATTTCAAGAGGTATATACCAGGGAGATTGCCTCAGCCCCCTTCGGTTTTGTCTTGCGATGGCTCCATTGTCAATTTTATTAAATCGTGAAGAAAACGGATACAAAGTAAAATTTAATGAATTAAGTGCAATGATCAGTCATAGCTTTTATATGGATGATTTAAAACTCTACGCAAAGAATAAATCCCAGCTCCAGTCTATGCTACAGACAGTTAGCCACTTTAGTGACTCCATACAGATGTACCTTAGAACTGAGAAATGCGCAGTTCTTCACGTTATAAAAGGAAAACCAAATAATTCTGAAAACTTGTTTAATGAAGAATATCATATTAAGAACCTTCAGAAAGAAGATATGTATAAATATCTAGGTATAGAACAGCATTTAAAAATAGCTAGAAAGGATGTAAAATGTAAATTGATAGCTTCATTTCTTCAGGTTTAATGATAAAAGCTATAAATACATGGGTTATTCCTTCCTTATCTTACAGCTTTGGAATTCTAAAATGGTCCACAACGTCACTCCAGGAATTGGATAGGTTAATAAGAACAAGTATGACGGATTCCAGAATACACCACCCGACTGCATCTATGGCAAGGCTTTACCTGCCAAGAAAGGAAGGAGGGAGAGGTCTTACAAATATTGAAGAGTCTTGTCGAAGTCAAGAAAAGAACCTAAGAGAGTACTTTAAACAAAGCGCAGTGCCGTGCCATAAGATAATCTGCAATCTCGATCGCGGGCACACTGCTCTACAATTAGCCTCTCATGAAACTGCGCCAATCTTTATTACCGACAAAGACCACCTGGAAGAATGGAAGTCAAAAGCATTACATGGAAGGTTTTTTCACCAGCTTCAGCAGACTGAAATAGATAAATCTTTGTCTGTTAGCTGGCTGGTAGGAGGAAGTCTGTTCCCCGAGACTGAAGGTTTTTTAACTGCAATCCAGGACCAGGTTATAGCTACCAGATCCTACTGGCGACACGTCTTGAAGCAACAGAATGTATCGGACAAATGTAGGCTCTGTGCAAGCACATATGAATCCATTCAACACATAACTGGAGGCTGCGGAGCTCTTGCAGGTACAGAATACCTAAAAAGACATGACGATGTTGCCAAAGTCTATCATCAGGCGATTGGTCTAAAAATTAAATTATTAAACGACTCGATGCCCTACTATAAATATTGCCCTAAAGGTATTTGCCAGAAAAATGGCTTAAAATTATATTGGAATCAATCATTTATAACAGACCATCTCGTGATCCACAACAGACCTGATATTGTGTTAATTGACGGCAATAGTAAGGTGGCTGAAATTATAGATATTGCTGTGCCAAATGACAGAAACATTAACTCAGTCTGTACAGAAAAAATTCGGAAATATCAAGGTTTAGCAACTGAGTTAAAAAGTTTGTATAAACTTAATAAAGTAACCGTTAGGGGCATTGTGATCTCCAGCAATGGCCTGATACCGGTGTCTACTGTGGAAGCTACTGACAGGCTGGGCCTCCCAACTCATGTAATAAAGGAAGCTCAGAAAGCGGTGCTGCTGAATACTGCCAGAATTGTAAGAAGCTTTCTCAACATTCAATATTAAAAACATAGAAATTAAAATTGGACATCCCTCAGGTGGTTGGAGTTGATTCTCCCCCTCTCAAGTAAACAAAAAAAAAACCTTTTGTAAAAGTGTTGACAAATAAAATTATAATAAATAATAATAGTAAATTTCAAGGTGTGAATTTTTTTTTTTTGGAAACTCATGTCACTTTATATTGAATTGAGTGTGTTGGGTAAGGCCAGCAAAATTAAATTGATGATTTCCAGCCTCAAGTCTGTAACCCTGCTCTTTAAATGTATTATTAGATATATATTATTCAATAGTAAATGTATAGTCACTGCAGTCAGTTTCAACTAATATCCAAAGTCGGTAAAGCTGAGCTCTGGGTCACTTCTTTAGAATAAATAATAATCAAATTTTAACTAAATTAAATCATGTTCTCACATACATAATATAATTCTTACTTCAACAGTCATGCTTCCCATTATTGCTCTCTGATGACCTTCAAGAGTAACAAGTGCAATATGTTGTATTTCTGAATCTGATTTTCCTAAAAACTGCTCACAAGCAGCCAACAGCATTTCTTCATTTTGACCCTGTATTTTAACCTAAAAAGTTTAACATAACCTTATAATATAAAATTATCATAAAAAATAACTGTTAATTAATCTATTAAACTAATGGCAAAACTCTTCTACTTCTCAACATATCCTTGAGGTGGCAAGAATATTTATAAATAATACGGAGGGATATGTTTATACAAATAGGGATATGCGGAAACTGCAGCCTCCGATATGATATATGTGCCCCCAAGTGTTTTTGAGTGCCTTTCATAAAATTCATTAATTCTCATATTAGTTAATATTTAATTATAATTATTACGATAATATGGAAATCAAAATTTATATCTATGCTTAAAAACATACAAATAAAAAGTGAAGTATTAAAAAATAAAGAGGTCTCCCTTATAAGGCCTAACCTAAATGTGGTCTCTTAAGTTAAGAAGGTTCCCTGTCTGTGGTTTATACTATGTTTATTTATATTTGGTATATCCAGCTACAGACTACAGATACCCCACTTCTAGAAAATCTTACTTATTTAATAAGCTGTAAATTAAGCTTAAGATTTACCTCTAGTTTTCTAAGGACCTAATCAGGTTATCATGAACACTTGTAATAACAAAAAAAAATATTTGTAATCACAAGCAACACAGATTTCTTTCTTCAGATTAAGTACTTTATTCATAATTTATAACCTCAGATTTTTAATATTTGAAACTCTTAATTAGCTAACTAATCTGATTGTTTGAACATGAGTATGAAATTTGAGATATTTTTCTGGAGTATTATATTGAAAATTATGAAGGATTTTATAGATGGATAGTATCATATAATTTAAAGCTCTATCTACATAAATGGATAGGAAGTATTTTTTCATTTTTTCTTCAGAGCATTCTTTAAACTTAGTGAAATTCTGAAAATGTAATCTCACAGTCTATAAGTGAAGTAGTGGATCAGATTTTTCTTACTCCATTTTAGTCCATTCGAAAGCTTAATCTAAAAACTAATTATTTTCATTGAAAAATATTAGATCCATATCCGAGGGTTCTTGCCAATATAATTTGCGCCCTAGGGACAGGAGCTGAGAAAAAAATATTTTTTTTTAGATTACGTTTTTCTGACTTTGCTCTGCATATATTTTTAATTTATTATGTATCAATCACTTTGTTTGTTTTTTTTTGTGTACAATAAGAAAAACATATTGCAAATTGTATTAAACAGATCCATCTAATTCACTCTCCATAAAAAAGTGCTAAACGCGCTGCTTGTTAATACAATCAAAATAATGTACTAAAAACGTTACTGTAACACTATAACTATGCCATTTATGAGTACTGAATGATGTGGCAGAGGACTCTAGGCACCTACGCTAGTGCCGCTTTTGCGTCAATAAGTGTATTTCCTATGTAACTAGTCTTTTAGAAAGAAAAATGTATTCTCCAGATATTTTATTTCAGGGCGTTCTTGTTATTGTTGGCTGTTTATTTACAAATGACACTTGACTTTTAACTTTAGTTTGAACAACTTGAAATAATTAACTGATTTTTTATTGGCAAGGTCAATTATTACTATCACTTACCTATATATAAGATATATAGTAAGGGTAAGTATTGCGATCATAAGAATTTTGGAATCTGAGTTTTCAACGTAAATACATGTTTTAAGGTCTTCTGAGTCCAAATAACCAAGTCCCACAAAATGGTCTGTGTATGTGTGTGTGTGTATGTTAGCAGTCTAGCTCAAAAACGAAGAGTCGTAAGAAAGTGAAATTGCATATTTAAGGTTTTTATATACCTCAGATGTTACAGCAACTTTTTCCTTAAAATCGGCTAACCGGAAGTGGCACTTTATATCAACGGTGAAACACATTTTTACAATTTTCTCAAAAATACCTCTAACAACTTTGATTAAACTCAGTGTAACATTGTATAATTAAGTGGTCTTTAATATCATTTAGGTCTTATCCCCATTGATGTCACTATACATGGCTTAAATGCCCAATGTTCATATACCTCTTCCTGTAAAGGACCTTTGATATGGTTTATTTAAAAAAATTAATTCTTTTTTATTGACATTGAATATAAAAAATGACTAAATATGAAATTTGAAAGCATACGGTAATTTGAAACTGGAGATAAAAAGAAAAATGCTTATCCAGGTTGAAAATGATCTCCGGAAATAACAGTCAGAATGTGTACTCATAATATATTGTTGGAAAGCGGAGAATTTCAGAAAAAATAACAGAAAATAAATAAAGTTGAAGAAGGTAACGGACAGTGATGATAAAAATATAAATAATAATTTCAGATAACTAACATTATTTAACGTGAATCACTATTAATTTTACAACACAAATCCTCTCACAGAAAACCTTAAAAGCACTAGAAATCCGTACAGCCCACCTCGACGATTACGTAGGCGGTGGCCAAGAGACCTGCTGAACTGAACTATTTCCTGGATTGTAATGGAACGCTGTGAAGCTGCCAAAAAATTTGCAAAGAAATTTACAGATCGCAAATTTAATTTTTGTATGTATTTTTTCACATGAAACTAAATAAAGTTTTCCTATTAAATATAAATTTTTATTATAAATATAAGTTTGAAAAAAAAAAATTTAAATCCACTGAATCAAACCAATGCCATTGTTTAAAATACTATTTAACTGTACTTGTGTGAAAGAAAAAGTGAAATATAAAAATATTTCATGGATATGTTTATAACCATAAATACATTTACTGTAGTTTAATAACTCTAGATATGATATTATATTTAAATAATTAGGTATCTATTGGCTGTTTATTCCAAAAAATCATCATGTAACCTTTTAGAAAATTAGTAAATCATTTGATGAATTTTCCCTTTGTGAAATTCCAACATTATCCACTTACAATTAGTGTGACAACTTCTGACCTATCCATGGGCAGGCAATAAAAATCTCGTAATTTCATTTTAGTAATTTTGCAATTAACAATAACAGTTTAATAACTTTATGGTCCTACAATTGATAACCATTTATAGGTTAGATATTCAGATGTACTTTCAAATCTCTCTAGGCAGATATGAGACTTTCGGACGATAGAATGACTACCTCCAATTTCAAAATTCTTTATTATTAATTTTAGCGATGTTTCTAAAGGAAAACTTTATACCTTTATTCACAGTTCTATATTTCAACACTGCATTCACCTACTCTGGAATCTAATTACTCACAGTCTGTATAGATATAACTTTTCCAACCAGAAATATCACTGAAATGACATTACTCAAAAATGTTGAAATTAAAGTTAGTCATTCTGTCAACTGAAAGGCTAAGAGACTGAAGTTATGAGGTTTATATAACTAGATTTTTAATGCCTACCATTGATATAATAAATAGACTTTTTGTAATTTTAATGGTCTTAATCATTTGTTATCTTTAAGCTTTAAACTTTAGCTCCGTTTAAAATGCACTTCAACAATTTTATAATAGTCCAACATTGCCAGAAAATAATTTCCATTCAAAGTAGAGGGGTAAGTGAAAGTTGTGTGTTGCGCGCACCAGATTTTTTAAAAATATTTTTCATGTTTTCATTTATTATTCTCTGATAATCTAGCTTTAATAAAAGGCAAATTATAACAAAATTAAGCTGGATCTCAGTGACTGAAAAACTAACTCAGGTCAAAGACGTCAATCCACCATGTTTCGACGCTATTTAGGGGCAGTGCGGCCACTTTTACTGTGAGAACAATGGTTACTATTTAATAAATAGATACAACGAACACAACTGTATGCAATTTATTGGGATGTGGGGAGAGGATTCAAGGAAGTGGGACATGGCTTCCCGTGTAACATACTTTTCAACTACCGCCTAACGTTCCACACAATGGCTCATTATGGTCAAGGAAAACCTCCAAATTCTGTGAATGAGGTTTAAAATGGAGTTACAGATCTCTTCCGTTCAAAACTGAAAGAGCACTATTGTGAAGAAATCGAAATGGGTAAATTTTGAAAGCTCAATTGTTCGCTTCCTGATGGGTTTAGAAAAAGATGTTATGCACAAAAACTTTTTCATGCGGTTTAATAAAATATTCTTAACTCCTCAAGTTTTTCTCTCAAGTCAATGTTACTACAACCAATGGAAAGCAAATTATCGCTCTTTATAAGGAATGACTAAAGAAAAATTCCCTAAACACTTTTTTTTATTTCCAAACCTAATTTATTTGTGGGCTTCTGGTTTGTGACATGTAATGTTTATTATAGGGCTCTAAATTTATGCTAATTTTTTTATGGATAAGCAATTGCAACAACAATTTTTATTTAAGCGTTTATATAGGTGCGGAAAACGAATATTATCAGTATTTCTCCAAAAAAAATTTTTTTCATAGTATAACCTGTGTTTAATATGTACGATACATGCTTTATTCTTATTTTTGCATCGAACATTTTATGGACTTAATCTTAATTTTGATACTAGTCTAATTAACAAAAAAAAAAACATTGGCATATAGTTATAGTATGAGTAAAATATTGAAACAATTAGTACAGACTATAAGAGTGAAGTGAGTTCAAATACATTTTTAATGAGAAAGGAAGTTGAGATTTGTATTTCGCACCTTGAAAAACCTTTGAATACAAATTGTCATACTCATCGTAAAATAAAAATTTTTTGTTCAAAATTTCTGCCTAGCCTGGATAGAGCCTTAGATTTTTTTTTTGAAAATTAAAAAGTTGTTATAACTTCGACATGGCTCCACTTATGCACACAATCTTTTAGAGCCATTACCTCTAACTTATAGCTTTTAGTTACTTTGAAAAATTTTCCAACTAATACCTGAGTTGGATAAAAGCAATCAAATTTATTGTGGTAATATCCAGTACGTTGTTTATAATGATCAAATCATGACAGAAACAAAGTCAGTTTCCAAAATGTAGAAAAATGATACTTCAAATAAACATTTGACTGGAAAGGGAGTATTTGGTCACATGGATTATTCACTTTTTTCCCCCTCACTGTAGGGAAGGCCAGCTAGGATAGAGTGCATGTGTCCCATTTTGCAGTAGTCCATGATATTTTTGTTATCAACGTACTTAACTTCATATGGACATGGTTTGATTCACGTCTGATTGATAGAGAAGAAATGAAACATCGTAGATTTTTTATATTGTGTTGATTGTGAGATCAGAATATGAGCAAGAAAAAGCTTGACCAGAAAAGCTCAAAACTTCATTTTCCAAAGACTTTGTCCTTAGAAGGTTTTACAGTGTGGCTATCAATATATTTCTTTTTCTTGAAAATATAGGAGTTCATAGTTATTTTTAACCAGAGCTCAATATTCCTTCTTTAGTAAACTTTTTAGTTTTTAGTTTAGAATTTGAAATCATATCATTGTAGTGTATACGAGAATAGCAAACTTTTGTCATTATTTTTCCCTATCATCATTCCTGAAACATGATCAACCGAAAGGCTTCTGAATAATAATTTAAATATTTTAAATCTGTAAGTTTTCTCTTTTTTAGTAGATTGATCAGGTGAATTCCCGATTAATTGATGTCATAAAATTATCTATAATTAGTGCATCTATTTGATTCATTTTAGAGACATTTCCTTTCACCTTAACGAACAGGTGCTATTGTAAAAGTTTTCCACCACTTTAAAGAGTGAGGCAAGATTTCATGATCTAATTAACAATGGGATATCAAGAACAAGTGTGAGTGACTAAATATTTACTGTATAGCCTCCCTTTATTTAGATCATAATTTATAACTTTCACAAACTCCTAACTGGTCATTATCAATTAAAATCGGAGCCTTAATTAGATCATTGCTTTCGTCTTACGCACACTCAAAAAGGTCAATAAATAAAAGGGTCCTTTTTAGTACTGGTCGGTATCTTACCAGAAAGTTCTGTCACCTTTATTTACTTTAAGACACACTAGTCCATTCTCGGGTTTCCATTTATAGTGTAATTATGAGATTCTGTGACATCCACAAAATTGGAGTAGCACTTATACAAAAGTACTCGTGAATAAGTGTGGTTAAAGTTGTCTAAGTCCACACTCCACCCAGTAAGATTACTCGTCCGTGCTTTTACCAAGATCAAAATGGAAATAGACAAAATATATTTTGATCTGGAGTTGCTTAATTGTCGCAAAAAAATAGAATATAGTATTATATCTATGAAGTTTTGTTAATTGATGTGTTCAAGTTACCTGGGCTATTCCTGTGACAGATATGGGAACTCCTTGACTTGTGTACACTGTTGGGCTTTCAACTTGTAAAGTCATGGTGTTTAAAGAAATCCTACAATAAACATGGGATTAGATGTAACATGGTAAGTGATAATAATTATTATGTTGACAAATTCCTGTAGAGATAATTATACCTTTGAACACATTGAAAACTTGGCCACACAAATGCTCTTCCACCAGGAACTAATAGAGGCTTAGAATAACAGCAACCTTAAAGTAAATATAAAAAATTAAACACCTAATGCTATATTGAAAATCGAACATTATCAGCTAATTACAATTCAAGATAGGATGACAAACGTTACCTGAAACTACTAGAGCTTCATTAGGTCCACAAGTTACAAAACCCCAAGTCATATTTTACTTTCTTTTTTTACAGCATTAAAAGTGTTAAATAATTAGCCCTTTTCAAGAAATGCCGAAATAATTAGCGGCGGACAGCCATAACTGCTTGATGTTTGTATACATGACAAAAACAAATCATCTGTTCCGCTAGTTTCAACAGCTGCAGCCTTGATTCATCATGAATATATTTATTAAAATTATTATTAGAATATAAATCGTCTGATATTTGTTTATTGCAAACTTTTTGGTGAAAATATCATTATTGGATATAATGTTTTATTATTAACTCCAGGAAACGTTAAACAGTGATTGCATGAAACAGTGCAATAGCATATTATCTTCATCCACTTAGTGTTTTACCCTGGGCCCACACTACAGGCAAATCGAGGCAAATTCCCGCAATTTGCCTCAATTTGATGGCAGTTTGCCCGAGTTTGCTAGCGCCACTGTAGTAGAGAACAAAGGAAAGTGCGAGAGTGGGAGGAGGTGGTGGGGATATTTTGACCTGCTGGTGGAAGGTAATGGGCTGTTTACCCCGGTTTGTTGCATATCCATCCGAAATGGAAAACTTAGGCAAAATCCAAGCAAGTTTTGCATTATGGCCGTTACGCTGCGCTAGTGATGCATTGAATAGCCATTGTGATTGGCTGAGACAGAAACTTCCGTTTCCCGCTTTTTTTTTGCCATATCCGAAATAAAAAAAAATTAGTGCGCACAACACAAAACTTTCACTTACCTTCTACTTAGAATAGAAATTACTTTCTGGAAATGTTGAGCAATTATAAAATTTTTGAAGTGCACTTTTAACGGGTCTATAGCTTAAAGTTTACTGCTAACAAATCATTAACATCACTAAAATAACAGAAACCCTATTAATTATATCAACGGTAGATAATAAAAACCTCCCTACCCCATATTTTTTCGTAAACCACATAACTCCGGTCTCTGAGCAATATACATATGTCTAGAGAGATTTTAAAGTATATGTCTATATTCAACCTATAAATGATTATGGATTCTACGCCTATTAGTTATTAAACTGTTATTTTCCATTGTAAAATTTACTACAAAGAGATTACGAGATTTTCATCGCCTGTCATAGATAGCTCAAAAGTTTTTACACTAATTTAACAAAGGGAAAATTCATCAAATTACTCACTAATTTATTTTTTTTTAAATGTTATACGACGACCAACGGACGTTGATACCTAATTATTTAAATATAATATCAGATTTAGAATTATTAAAACTATAGTAAATGTATTTAAGGTTATAAACATAGGCTTTATACATCCATGAAATATTTTTATATTTCACTTCTTTCACATTAGTACTATGAAATAGCTTTTTTAACAATTACATTGCGTTGATTAGGTGAATTTTAAATAGTTTTTTCAAACTTAAAAACAGTTTAAATTTAGTTAGTAAATTTCATTTATTTAATTTCCTTGAAAAAATGTGATTTCCGTTAAATAATATTAGTTTACACAAATTATTATTTATAATAATCTCTCTCCATTACTTTCTATATTTCATATTGTTTTTTTCTAAAATTATCCGCTTTCCAATGATATAACTTCTGACAAGTATTGCGGTAATTCATTTTCATCCTCAATACACATTTTCCCTTTTTTCTCCATTTTTCAATTATCAAATTCTTTCAAAAGTTATATTTAGCATTTTTTCGTAATTCTTAATAATGAGAGATGGTTAATTATTAAAAATTAATCAAATTAAAGGTACTTTAGAGGATGAAATGTTGAACATTTAGGCATTTAAGCTATGTAAAGTGACATTAATGGGGATAAGACCTCAATGATATTAAAGACCACTTAATTATACAATAATACACGAGTTTAATCAAAATTTTCTGTGCAACCAGCTTTCTGTCTTTCAGTAATAACAAACAAATCATTATAAACTACAAAAATTAAATGAAGATATTATTTGCCATTAAATGAATTATGGAAGTTTGTTAGCGGAAGGGTTCATATAAATAAAATTAAATAAGATATAATGAAATATAACATATATTTTTGAACATTTTTACATAATATATTTTAAATAACAAAACTTTTAATCCATTACTTGTTTTTCCCATTTTTCATTACTTATATATATTTATTTGATTTATTATATTTCCATACATTTGCTATTTGTACTTATCATCTTTTATACTTATCAGGTATATATATCATAACCTTTCGTACTTATTCATTACCTTTTATTATCATAAACTAAGTTTTTGTTAATTCATCTAATTACATTTTATTATTCATATCTAATTATTCCATTTTATGTTTCTTCTTCATTTAATACTACTCTTCATTGTTTATTTCCGTTTTATAGTTGAATTGAAATACTTTATAAAACCAATTATGTCAAGTTCCACTTTTGGTAATATTATTTCAGCCAACAATTTGCCCTAACATCGCTGCCATACTCCTATCTACCTTAATAAATAAGTATAATCACTGAACTTTTCATTTTTTAGCTAGATTCTGCATTTACACAAAAAAAACCATTAAGCAAAAAGTTTTTTTATGTTTTTGAAAACTCAGAGTTGAAATTTTTAATGATCCCAATACTTCGCATTACATTAAAATAAAATAATATCCATTTTCACATATTATTTAGTCAATATAAAAAAAAAAGTTCAAAATTTATTTATTTTTTAACCTATGCTTATTCTACTTTAGAGAGTTGAAAACAAGTATTCATTATTTTTTTAAAATGATCATTATCAGTTTCTTTTTTAGTCCCATATTTGTATCGGTCTGTCAACTAATTTTAAATTTCACAGACATTAGTGTTAATCTACATCTGTTTTTTTTTCTTTCTATATCTTCAGTTCAAATAAAACCGAACAACTCACAAAATTACTAACCTAGACTCTAATAAAGTTGCATTAATAACATTTTAAGCACATAATGAAACACCATAATACAATACTATATTTGTAATTAAATGACTGTATCATGGTTAGAGACTAACATCATACAGTGCCAATTTTGATGCCTACTTCAATAAATAATTCACCATCCTAAGCCTAAAAAAGTTATATTTGTATAAAACATTGTCTGATTAAAATAACAATTAAGTCTAAGTGTGGAAATTTTAACCACATAGTGAGACTGGCCTTTGTTTTGTTATTCGCATTTTTAATTTTAGAAATTTGACATATACCTATCATTTATTGGTTATTTATACACAAGTTGTAATATATATGTTTGAAGGGAAATGATGGAAGATGTTATTTATAATACATACAACCCATATATTTGCAAAATATAATAAATCATATACATAAACTAAATTTAATAATTATAATGTTGCTAGAAAATTAATCTTTATATCTTAACTTTGTTATTATTATACAAAATATAATATACAAAATTAATGAACAAATAAATATTTTTAGGTTCAAATATACAATACAAAATATAAATGAATTAATACAACATACAAATTAATGAATACAAGATATGTTTTTGTTTATACAACATCATGAATAAAGGAATTTAACATTACAAATAAAGCATTTTTAAATGCATCAGAAAAAGCTGAATAATAACTAATGATTATTCTAATAATTTACTGGATTATTCTCCATCTTCTTCAAACACCTTTAAAAAGGCTTTATTAATAATATGTCTTTTTGGAGGCACAACCTTACTAGTATTTACAGAAAAAGTGTCTGTTTTATATTTTTTAAATGGCCCAGCATGTTGCTGGAAAATCACTTTTTATGGTGCATTCGCATTACCACGGGCACAGGCTGCCATTTTGTTTAAACTAGTGCTGGTTTCAATATTACAAATATTTTTATTCCACAAAGTCCGCACACATCTTCCCCAAGCCTCGTTCCATTTCACATATGCACAAACTTTGTTCTGGTTGAGGTAATTGGTCCAACCCTTCTCCTAACATGGACCCATAATTCTGTGCAATTGTTTTGGGTTTATTTGTATTTCCGCACTGTTTTTCTATTATTTGGACGAGTTTATTGAACGGGGCCATAATTTCCTCTTCGCCTTTGTTTGATTTTTTTTTTTTGTCTTAGGCTGCAATACATACCGTTGTTCAATAAAGATGAATCATCGAGTACTTCAGCCTGTCCTTCATGTTCACACTCAACAGTAGGGGAACGCTGAAAAAAAAAAAAAAATTACGAATCTTAGGCCTGGTATCATCCAACTAAAAAATCAGATTTTTTAATTTCGTTATAATTTTTTCCCTTCTATTTTTTGCGATGCTTATAACACATTTAGTTGAGATTTTCATTTTTAGAGGAGGGTCTATGTCTGGCACACTTTAAGACTCAATTTTACAGAGAACAAATAAAAGCTATGTAACATTTACATTAATAATGAAAGTCGAGGAAAAAACAAAACTAATCCTTAATTGAAATAGGAAACAATGGAATCAAATTCATAACAGAAGAAAATAAATAATTTGTTACGGGTAAACAGATAATGTGGAGGGTTAAGGAAACAAGACAGAATGGCTAAGGCATCATAGGGCATTTTCTCTTTATAGTCATTACCCTATGTACATTGTTTTGCTATATGAAAAAGTATAAAAAAAATAACTTAATCATAGACTAGGAGGGATATCGAAAACTAACAATGAACTTCCAATTAACTAAATATAAATAACCAGTTAAATGCTAAATAATTAACACCCCTTGTCCATTGTTTCCTTTGCGATGATGTACTTAAGTTGGACGTTAGAAAAGAAAATAGAACTAAACTAACTTACTACAGACTTAATTGATAGTTTGAATTGAAAAATAATAAAGTAACACTTGCAAATTTAGTAAAAGAGGAATTAACCATTCACTAAATTGTAAAAAATGTCTATACAGTAAATCAAAGAACCTCATAAATAAATGGAGAAAAAAATTTTTAAATGCATTCCTTGAATCAAACAATTGAAAAAATATTGGCAGCTCATTGCAAAGTAATTAAGTGAAAATTTATTATTTCTTAAGTAATCAAGAACTTTGAATATCTTTTTCTTTATAAAATCAGAAAATTGTGTGCTTCTTGTAAGTATAATTGATGTATAAAAGGGTTTGTTTCATTTCCATGCCCATACAGTGTTTTTGTATAGG